AGTTCTGAATATTCTAATTTTTTACTACTTGTAGTCGTTTTGGAAGATTGAGTTTTTTATTTTTCATTTTTTTGTTAGATGAAGGGATTATATTACTTGAGTGGGAAATTTGCTTATCCCTTATTCAAGATTATTGATGGTAGCAAGATTTGTGGTTATTCGTAGCTTGCTATTGATTTTTTGCTATGGAACAAGCTATTTGGGAGTAAAATTTCAGACCGCTTGTAAATGGCCAATCTTTCATTGTGCATTTTGTTAGCGGTGCCATTGTAGATTGATTTTTTTTTTTTTTTGCTTTTGCTTTTCCTTTTTTTTTTTTTCTTCAATAACATCTTCGACATTCACAGTTATAAGGATTCAGTTGGTAGCTAGCTATTATTGTCTATTAAATGAAAAGGTTTGGTTTTTCCAGTGCATTTGTTGGCATTATTAAGAAGAAAAAATAGTTTAGTGTGACTTGATCAAAAATAATTATTCAAAGCTTCAACACGTTGGTGATTTAAAGAGGCTTTTTTGTCTTCTCAAAAGATTTCGACATTTTGAATTTGTTCAAAACATTTCCAACATAAATGTAGCATTTTGTTTGTCCAAAAATAATTGGGTATTTCTGCTGAGTTGTCATTGTTTAGGTGGCTTTCGTGATATTGCTGATTACTTAGCTCGTCGAAAATCTACTGAATGGAAATTGGGTGCTTAATGTAAGATGGATTTACTGTAACGGCTTATCTAGTTTCATGATAAAATGTGCTCAGCGAATCTTTGTTGACAAGAAAGTTTTTTTTTTGAAGGTCAAAATATTCACTGGCTACTTCGCATACTTTATCTGGCTTCTGAAGCGTCTATTCACAGCTTTTATCTAGTACAATTTCACTGTTTAAGAGGATTAATTTTCTCTTGGAAGTACTAAGTATGAATAAGTATGTAAATTTTAATGTTATTTTGAGGTTTATCAGTTCCTACAATAAAGGTTTTTTTCTTTGTTATATAGAAGTAGATGTCGGTTTTTGCCAATCATTTTTTCGTCTCCTTCTCGGTCACGGTTTTTTTAAAGATTGTTTCATTGCCTTATCCGTGTTTTTTTCCTATTAGAAAATTAAAGAAGAGTTTTTAGCATGATGGCATCTTTGGTCGATGTTTCGCAGCCACACACTGCAATTTATGAAAATCTTTACAATGAGGTCAGCTTATTTCTGTTCCTAAGTAAAAGATATTTTCGAACTGTTCTTCAAACAAAATTACTGCGTTACTATTTTTTTGGCCTTCGTTTCCATGCTCAGTTTTTTTAAAGTTAGATTTCAGATGAATCCACAGGGTAAAAGCGTGATTCCAGCTCAGGAAGCTGCCGTTTTCTTGAAGAGATCTAATCTTAGTGTTCAAATTTTAGGACAGGTATGGAGAACAATAAACAGTTTCAGAGTCAACTTTATACTGCATTTCTTAAAATAAATTTAACATGTTCCAGATTTGGGAATTGGCGGACTTCAACA